TTGTACAATAGGAATCCCTGAAACTATTGCTAAATTTATTTACAACTCTGTTAAATGTAAAAATATATTTTTTAAAATTAATGGAGAAATAATTGGTCCCAGAACAAGCACTACCGGTCTCCCACAAGGAAGTATTCTCAGTCCGATAAACTTTTCAATTTACACTAGAGAATTAAATCATCACATCCCTCCAAATTGCACTTTAATTGAGTTCGCAGATGACCTATCCGTCATTTGTCGTTCTCCTAATTTAAATCAAATAATCACATCTCTTCAACATTGCCTTGAAAATGCCTCTGATTTCTTAACTAATAGAGGTCTAGATATTTGCCCTGCTAAAACTAAATTAATTATCTTTATCAATAAAAAACTTAATTTGGATGACCCAACTCTTTCACTCTGTTTGAGAGGAAATATTATTAAACCATCTCCCTCAGCTACATACCTTGGAATACAATTTCAAGAATCGGCATCTTCCGATTGTCACTTTAATTATTTATGCGACAAAGGCAGAAAATTTTTAAATATCTTTAAAGTCCTTAGAGGCACCTATTGGGGTGCTGACCCCTATATCCTTGTCCGAATTTATGACTCCCTTTTTAGAAGCCAAATAGATTACTGCTCACACGCTACAAAATTTTTATTCCCATAAAAACTTTTCTCGGCTGGAAAAATCCGTAACCAAATTCTAAGACTAGCCGTAGGCTATAGAAACAGCACTCCTATTAACGTCATGTTAGCAGAATGCTGTGAGCCACCGCTTAGAACAAGATTTAATTTCTTATCTAAAAAATATCTTATAAAAATCTACTCAAATTCCGCTCATATTCTACTAGACAAACTTTCAACTCTCTCACGTCTAACTGCCGATTCTAATGTAAAATATAACTACCCCTTATTAATTCCTTATGAAAAAACGAAAAATTACAAAGAATTAATTAGAAGTAAGGATCTTGATCTCTTCTACGAATTCCTTTATGAAGATCATACATTCACTCCTCAAGTTATTCTTGACTGGGGTAATTCACTCCAATCCTCATCAAACTTTCCAATCTTATTTAGTGATCTTATATATCGGGACTTCCCTAACCACACCTTCTTTTTTACTGATGGTTCCAAGGTGGATTCGGATCATCTGGCTGGATGCGCATTCGTTTGCCCTTCTTTAAATATAACCTCTAAATATAAAATTTCAAATTTTGCTTCTATTTTTATCCTAGAAGCATTTTTCATTTTATTTACATTAGATTAATGCCAGTTTAGCAAGGAAAAATTATATTACTTCCAGTGACTGTCCATATTGTCCCGGTGTTGATGAAGATCTTGATCATGTCCTTTGGTCTTGTCCTAGATTTAATGCCTTTCGCCCCAATTTATTGAAAGCTCTTACAAGAGCTTTAAAATGCCTTGCACCCTTTAGTAGCGTACAATTCCTTACAAACCCTCTCTCCTAGAATCGTTTCTCATGTTTTTCGATTCTTAAAACTAGCTGACATTACAATATAAACAAAAAGATTAACTTAATTCAATTCATTTTATTTAAATCAATTAAACCAATTCGCGCCTTTATACTTAAATCTATGCATTACATGGTCATCCCTGGCTCGCGTAAAATCGAGACTAGATATGTATAGAGCTTAACAAATAAAGCTCTTCTCACACGTCACCTGGTCATGGCTTGATATACACAGCGAAAAGCTAGTATAGGCCAACGTCAAATCAAATACTACTACTGCTTGTAGCGAATCGCATGCACCAATACGTCAGTTCTCTGTTTTTTGAGATTCAAATTGGAAGTGTTGTGAAAGTAAGTGACAAAAAATGGTTCCACGAAAAAAGTGCTTTGCTTTAATATGGTGGCTAGGTACATCTTTAAAAGATGTAATAAATTTAAATTATAAACCTAAAGGAAAAAAAATATTGGTGATATTGCGGATATAAAGTGGTCAGCAAATAAAAAAGGAGAAAAAGATACATTTCTGCCCGACTGATATGAGCGCGTGCGGTCCAAGCGAAGAGTCGGTTCTACGATCTAGCTCCTCAATTACTTCTCATTTTCATTTTGAATTCTAATTAACATTTACATGAAAATGGAACCTGAATTTTATTTTGACAAGAAGTTTATTTCTAATGATTCCTTTTCCCCTAAAGATCATTTAAACTAATTTATTTTTTAAAAATTTTTATTCTTCTGATTTTTTAATTATATAAATAAAAGATAATTATAATTTTTTTAACTGCAAGCAATTTAATATTTTTATTGTATTAGAATAAATAAATTTCATATTTTTTTATTACATTATTATTATAGATTATTAAATTATTAATTAATTACATCTAGAGAAAAGATATATCTGTCTCAGAGCCAAATAAATATTTGTGGAAGTACATTTTATCCATTTTATCTCTTCATAATGAGCATTGCGCACTGATTGGTGAGTAAGGGGTTGCTGCGCACGATGAGTCCAGGCTGAGGATGCTTGGGCCTGGTCCGAAACACAGGACTCACTCAAGTCAGCGTTTTCCGCAATCACGGTCCTAATTGAAGGATCTATAGATCTATTTCTGTTTTATATAACTAGACGCGAGGTCTACATATCACGATTCCAAGTTACTGTATTATAAATTATTGTGCAATCTTATTCGGTTATCCAGAATAAAGATATATTAATTTTTTATAATTAATTATTGATTTGTGAATTCCTGCTATTTAATCCTTCTACAAATCAGAAGTGGGATACATACACGCGCTAGTGCATTACAAGGAACAATCACGGAATAATAATCAATGTAAACAAGTAGGGGGTCCTTTATGTTTATTTCATAAACATTATGCTTCCTCATTGTGTGAAGCAAAAAATTCGCTTCCTCGTAAAGGAAGCAATGAATTTGTCCAATTCAATTGATTGATTTAAAAACTTTCGAATTAAAAATGTTTTAAATTAATTAAATTTTTTGAAAAATAAAGAAAATTTTAATTAATTTTGAGTGTAACATAAACTTTATATATACGAATCGATTCGTTTTAATGCAAGGAATACAATTATTTTATTCATCAACTTGAATTTAAAAAAACACAAAATTTTTTAGCTAAAATATGAATTTTCGATTTTTCAATTTTTATTAATTCTCAAATTTTAAATCAAATCTATACTTTATATATACCAACCAATTCGTTTCCATGCAGGGAATAAAATTATTTCATATATAAACATGAATTTAAACAAACACATCATTTTTTAGCTAAAATGAGAATTTTTGATTTTTTAACTTTCTTTAATTCTTTAAATTTCAATCAAATCTATACTTTATATATATCAATCGATTCATCTTGACATAAAGAAGACGATTATATTATATATTACCTTAAATTTTTCGATTTAAAAATTTTTTCAATTAAAAAAAATTTTTTGGAAAAAAGACGATAAAAATTTTTTTTTGGGGTATTTTTAAAAATCCTCTCGTCATTTTTGAGAGATTAATGTGTTAAATAAGCCTACCAAATTTTATCCAAATCCATTAAAACCTGTTAAAGATATCGTCTTCACAAAACCGATCCACACACACATACACACACACACATACATACACACATACATACATCCGGACAATTGATCAGGATCTCATATAACATGTTTCTATATAGAGGAAAATTTGTTTTCACCATTTTTAAAAAGTTTATAAACGAAAGGACTACATAGCTTCCTCCACGAGGAAGCAAAAAGAAAAGTGAACATAGTTTGCAGTGAATTAAACTCAGTTATCAGTGATAATGCCTTCCAAAGACCTACATCGATCGCGATCTATCAGAAGGAAGAGGTATCGAGACGAACGCTCAAGATCGTTTTCACGTGATCGGTCAGTTCGCGTTCAACAAAGAAGAATATCGCGCTCTCGTGAGAGGTCGTCACGCAATCATGAGAAAAGATCACATTCGCGTGAAAGAAGATCACATTCTCGTGAGAGAAGATCACGCACACGTGAGAGATCGTCACGTATGCGCGAGAGGTCACCCTTAGGGATGTCATGGAATAGCAGCCGGGCGAGTGTTGAGTCCGATTTTGCAAGGTTAACCGAGGTGTTATCGGGTATAGTACAGTTAGGTTCGAGGAAGGCAAATAAGCATATTAATGAGAAAATTCTACCGGACTTTGATCCGGCTAGTAAAGATTTATCGGCATCTGAATAGTTAGATAAAATCAATATGTTCGGGTCAATGTATGATTTGGATGATGCACAAAAGTTGTACATGTCAATACTGAAACTTCGTGGAAACGCGAAGGCTTGGTTTGACAGGTTGAAAAATCCTCCGGTTTCCTGGGAAGTTTTTGTAATTTCCTTGATAACACAATTTCCTGGGGAAGAGAATTTCGGCAAATTGTTTGAATTAACAGCCTCGCACTAGGCTACGTCGGGTCAAGACTTGCAAAAGTATAGCTTTGAAAAAGTTAAGAGAATTAATAAATTAAAAATAGATATTCCGGAAAATAAAATAGTAGAATTAGTAGTACCCGGAATTGTTGACGATAATATTCGAATGCACGTAATGTCATCTAAAAATAAGTCGATCGCGGAATTGATACAATGCTTAAGTATGATTCCGATAAATGAAAAGCAATCCGAAAAACAAGATTCTAAGGAATCAAAAGGGTCGAAGGACCACCGAGATTCGGGTGAACGGAAACGGAATTTTAACCGTGACAGCAATAAACCCACGTGTTTCAATTGTAAAAAGGTGGGCCACAAATAAATAAATTGTCCCGAGGCGAGCGAGAAAGAAAAACGGTCAGGCCTCGAAACTAAAAATGCGAGTCCACCCGGTAATAAACCAAAATGTAATTTTTCTGAAATTCCGGGCCACATTGAAGACACATGTTATAAAAAGAAAAACGCGGAAGAGAAGGAAGAAAAAATCAGCATAACTAACCAACAATACTGAAGACCCTAATTTAAGTGTATTGCATGTCGAGGGTACGGGTAAAGTAAATAAACCTCTTAAGATGTGTCGGGTAGAGAGAGAGGAAAGATCTTGCATTATTGACTTAAGTAGTGAATACTCGATAATAAAAGAGAGTGTTGCTCGACACTTTAATTTGCCTCTTAAGGAAACAAAGAAGGTCCTTTCCGCCTTTAATCATGCCGTAGTTGTCCCTCTCGGTTATTCCAGAATGAAAATACATGTCGACAATATACCGTTTAAGGTAAAGGTCTATATTGTGTCTGACAATGAACTCTCAACCGAAATTTTGGTTGGGCGTGATTTGCTATCAAAAACGGGAACGCTCGCGATAACGGACGCTGAAGGGGTCACTTTTACCTTAAAGAAAAACGTGTCTGTCGATGAAAAATTAGATGTTAATCTGGTAAATTCGGATTTGCCAAGGATTATACATGAAGCAGATGTTATCTGCGAGGGAATAAATTTGTCTGAAAGAAATCGTCTAATAAATTTACTAAATAAATATCGGAAAACTATAACCCTCGAAATGAAGGAGTTAGGTCGGACTGCCGCCGGGGAGATGAAAATCGAGTTAACCTCAGACGAGCCGATTTACCGTAAACCATATCGAATGGCTAACGATAAACGCTAAGAAGTTAAGGAAATAACAATGGAACTTGAGCGTAATAAAATGATCCGCGCGAGTAATTCTGATTATTCAAGTTACGTTGTACCGGTACGAAAAAAGGATGGACGAATATGGTTAGCGGTTGATTATAGAGGAATTAATCATATTACGAAACTTATTCATTACCCTATACCCGTAATTGACGATCATATTGATCAACTGGTCGGAAAAACGATTTTTATCCTATTAGATTTAAAGTCCGGGTTCCATCAAATTCCGATGCACCCATATTACGTGAAATACACCGCGTTTTCCACACCCGATGGCCACTGGGAGTATCTGCGAGTACCATTTGGCCTTGCTAATGCACCCGCGGTGTTCCAAAGAATAATGAACAAGGTCATAAAGGGTCATGCATCAATATATTTCGACGATGTATTAATTGCCGCCAAGAATGTTGAAGAGGCGTTCCGAAAGTTGGAAGTCGTTTTGAAATTGTTCTTGGAAAATAATCTGACATTAAATTTTGAAAAGTGCAGGTTTTTCCAGAGCAAAATTGATTATTTATGGAGAGAAATATCGAGTGAGGGCGTAAGACCAGGTGAATACAAGGTTCAAGCGGTTCTAAACGCGGCCGACCCGAGGGACGTGAAGCAAGTTCGTCAGTTTTTGGGATTAGCCGGTTATTTCCGTAAATGTATTCTTAACTTTGCACAGAAAGTTAGTCCCCTAACAAATTTGTTAAAATAGAATGCCGTCTGGGTCTGGGGGAAAAAAGAATCAGAGGCTGTGAGGATTATAAAAGAGCAATTGTCTACTCGACCCGTATTGGAAATTTATGATACGGAACTCGAAACTGAAGTTCACACTGATGCTAGCGCAATAGGTATTGGCGCGATACTAATTCAAAAACATAAAAACGGGAAGCGTGTTGTTGCTTATTACAGCCGTAAAACGACGCCTGTGGAACAGCGGTATCACTTTTACGATCTGAAAACTCTGGGAGTGGTTGAAGGGGGCGATCATCAATTCGCTCCCGTGAGGGGAAGTAACCTTCCTCCACCATGCGGACAGGAGCCTAAGTTCGAGTGTCGGAGCGAACTAGCACCGCGGGAGGCCGGATCCCTTAATCCCTCATAAATTAGATTTTCCAAGTTTTCCTTAATGGCTTTTTCTAAATATAAATAAATTTTTTAAATAACAACATTTTTAAGTTTTTTTTATCAAATTCGAAATCCTTACTTTATTACAATTTCATACATATGTTGTTTGACTTAAAAATGTTGATATTTAAAAAGTTTATAATTCGAACATTTTCTAAATATCTTTCCTCCTACAAATAACCGATTACTTGTCTATTATGAAATACACTATAAAAAACATATTTTCTAGTTCCTTATTTATTTAAAACATAGTTTATAATAAAAATAGATTCAAATAAAAATATTATAAGTCAGTTGTTTTATTATTTATTGAAAGTGAAAAAGTAAATAAATATTTTAAAAAACAATTCTTCCTTCACACTTGTGTTCCAGGCTTAGGACTGTCAGCTTAAAACATTTCTATATACATATCTTAATGCTGGCGTTTTTAAAAGGATTAGCAAAGGTGATGATATAATTCTAAACTTTTTAAAAATTAACATTTTTAATGCAAACAACATATGCACAAATTCGCAATTAAATAAGGATTCCGAATCTAATAACAAAAACTTAAAAATGCTAATATTAAAAAAAAAATTTTTTTAATGAAAATCCATTAAGGAAATCTCCTCACTGAGGGATTAAAAGAACCCGGCTCCCCGCGGTGCTACCTTCGCAGGCCTCTGACCGCGTGATGGGGGAAGGTAACTTCCCCTTACGGGAGCGAATTGATGACTGTCCGTTGAGGGATTGAAGGCCTTTAGAGTATACCTGTTAGGGATTAAGTTCACTGTGGTGACCGATTGCAGTGCTGTCAAAGCCACAGTAAATAAAAAGGATATACAACCTCGTGTGACAAGATGGTGGATATACCTGCAGGATTTCAATTTTGTAATTGTGTATCGCCCAGGTACACAAGCGTCTCACGTTGATTATTTTAGTCGCAACCCGATTCAATGTTTTTCGGTAGATATTACTGAAGTAGAATGGATTAAGGCCGCCCAAGCTCAAGATCCAGATATTGAGATAATTGCGAAAATTTTCAATTCCGGAGAATTAAAGCGAGAAACAAAGCAATACTTTGAGCAATTTGACTTAAAGAGGGGGGTTGTTTTTCGGCGCACTAAGGGGGGAAATAGGTGGCTTGTTCCAAAAATGTTGAGGTTTAACATCGTTAAATTATGCCATGATGATCAAGGTCACTTTGCCTTTGAGAGAACCCTTGAAAAGGTGCGAGAAAATAGCAATTCCCTTTCATACGTTGCACATTGATCATATTGGTCCATTTGTAAAGAGTGTACACAAAAATACACAATTGCTTTCTATTATTGACGGTTTCACAAAATTTTGCATTCTCAAGCCTACTCGTAGTACGTCCGTGAAGGGAGTTTTAAAAGCACTCGGTCAACTAATTGCAATATTCGGCGTACCATCTCGAATAATAAGTGACAGGGGCACAGCGTTTACTTCAAAACATTTTGCGAATTTTTGTACTGAGTATGGGATCAAGCACGTGCTCAACGCAGTAGCAACGCCACGTGCCAATGGACAATGTGAAAGATTAAATCGCACTGTCCTTAGTTCCCTCATAACTACCTGCGCTGGCGAACCGGAGGATAGATGGGATGAAAAGGTGAAAAAGGTGCAAAGTGCCATTAACTGCACAATAAATAGGACGACTCGCATGAGTCCTACACAATTGCTATTAGGGTTTAAACCTCGAAGTCCAGCCGATTCCAGACTGCTTTCTGAAATCCAAAACACCTTGGATCAACTCAACCTGGCTGAAATGAGGGAGGCACCAAGGCTCCCGTGTATACTATAGGGGCGATGATCGTTTCACTGCCGTAAGGGGAAGAGGTATACCCCCACTCTACCAGCCGGGCCATAAACCATCATAAAAAATTTGATTTTTTGGTCGATAACACCGTTTTGTCAGACCCTGTCACATATAAGATTGAAAACTTTTAAAATTTCGCGCAGTTTATTTGACTACTCCAACGCCCTCTTGCGTAAAGGTTTTTTTCTTAGCGCCTCCTAACCGCAAAAAATAAAAATTATACTTTTTTCATTCTTTCATTTGGCATCCGCCACCCGGGTAGGATGGAGGGTCCTACAAATTCTGTTTTGTCCGCAATCGAGTCAACGAGGAAAAGGGGTAAGCCTCTTTTAATTTTTAATGATTTTAAATTTCATTTTCATAAATCATATGCTGGCGGTGAAGAACGATGGATTTGTTCGGTAAAAAGTTGTAAAGCTTTTTTGCGTACTTCTTGTAATATACCGCGTGAAATTTTTTTTGTAAAGTCTTTTTTTTGCAACATTTGAATAACCATTCTCCAATGGATAATATTTCTTGCCAAAAATTATCCCTTGTTGAAAGTGTTAAACGAAAAGCAACTGATGATCCTTGTGAAAAACCATCTAAATTAGTACATTCGTGCATAACATCCGAGCATCGTGATTTAAAAATTGAAGATTTTAGAAATGTAAAAAGAGTTTTGTATCGTGCGCGTCGAAAAATTTTACCAACTTTACCAGTCAATTTAAATGATAATCACGTTGGTTTAGATAAAATGTCAATTAAAACTAAATTTGATGAAAATTTTTTATTGTTAAATGACCCTCAGTCAAATATAATAATTTTTGGTACAGAAAGAAATTGAAATTTTCTTGCCTCTTCGGAAACGGTTTACGTTGACGGATTTTTTTATTACGTAACGTCTTTTTTTAAACAAATTTTTACATTGCATGGTTTTTTTAATGGTCATTATATTCCGCTAGCCTTCTGCTTACTAAAAAATAAACGCGAATCTACATACCTTGATTGTTTATACAAATTATGTTTTTTATGTGAAGAAAAAAATTTTTTTTTTAATCCTTCCGCGGTAGTTGTAGATTTTGAAACGGCAATTCACAATGCCATAAAAAATATTTGGCCAAATGCAAGGATCATTGGATGTAGGTTTCACCCTTCTCAAGCTTGGTTCCGTAAAATACAAGAACTTGGTCTTACTGTAGATTATAAAAATAAAAATTCTATTATTAGGGAATGGTTATGCGTTTGTTATGGGTTAATGTTTTTAAGCAGTGAAGAAGTTAAATATTGTTTTGCTTTTGACCTACTTCCATTAATTCCGTTAGATGATAGAGTTATAAAATTTGCTGAATATTTAACTACTAATTACGTTCGTGATGAAGTACGATTTTGCCCTAAAATTTGGACCGAAAAAACTCCTGCATTAACACGAACAACAAAAGCGTGTGAGTCGTTTCACTCGCATTTTAATAAATCATTTTATTATACACATCCGTCTATCTTCAAAACTGTTGAAATTTTACTGCAACTTCAAGTAGAATCACATTTTAAATGTAACAGTATTGATACTCCTTATACTCAACAAAATTCGTATTCTAAAAAAAATATGATTATATATCGAGAAAGATTAACGAATATAATAACGCAGAAATTTCTCGTATTAATTTCGTTATATCCGTGTCCCGTTATTGCAATGTGCAATAATTAATTATATACAAAATGTGCTTTAAAAGCATAGCTTCATATACATTTATATTTTAATAATAAAAAAATTAATTATTACATATTTATATATACCCAGATACCACGTTATTTCGCGGAGAGTTCGCAACGCGAAGTTCGGTAACTCGCATTGCGAACTCCCTGCGAAGTAATGGTGAATATCAAAATGTCCTCCTACTGTTACAGTGCGAACTAACTGAAAAGTATAAATGCGAACTAACTAAAACGTATATATGCGAACTTGCTGAGAAGATTAAATGCGAATTCGTTGAAAAGTTCAATTGCTAATTATGTAACATGAGCAATTTTAATGCGAATTTGTTAAAAATTTAAAATGTTAATATAAATGAGAAATTTTTGAGAAAATAATTGAATAATAAAATGGATATTAAAAGGATAGGATGGGAAAGACAGAAGAAACAGCAATATTTTTATAATTTTTGAAACTAATTTATTAAACGTTGTCTTTTGCGTGTGTTTGCAAAATTAAAATAAAAAAGTTAAATTTAAAGAAAAAAAAGAAAAGTGAAACCCCAAAAAAAGACAAAACAAATAATTTTTCTCATTTATATTAACATTTTAAATTTTTAACAAATTTGCATTAAAATTGCTCATGTTAATTAGCAATTGAACTTTTAAACGAATTCGCATTTAATCTTCGTAGCAAGTTCGCATATATACTTTTTAGATAGTTCGCATTTATACTTTTCAGTTAGTTCGCATTGCAACTTCTCGGCAGTAGGAGGACATTTTGATATTCACCATTACTTCGCAGGGAGTTCGCAATGCGAGTTACCGAACTTTGCGTTGCAAACTCGCTGCGAACTCGCCGCGAAATAACGTGCTATCTGGGTATATATATATATATATATTTCACTGATTTCTTCAGTGATACATATCGCCTAAAACTAAAATGGGCGAATGTGGAAGTACATTTTATCCATTTTATCTCTTCATAATGAGCATTGCGCACTGATTGGTGCGTAAGGGGTTGCTGCGCACGATGAGTCCAGGCTGCTTGGGCCTGGTCCGACACACAGGACTCAGTCAAGTCAGGGCCTTCCGCAATCACGGTCCTAATTGAAGGATCTATAGATCTATTTCTCTTTTATATAACTACACGCGAGGTTTACATATCACGATTCCAAGTTACTATATTATAAATTATTGTACAATCTTATTCGGTTATCCAGAAGGAAGATATATTAATTTTTTATAATTAATTATTGATTTGTGAATTCCTATTATTTAATGCTTCTACATATTTATTTGTAATTAATAAACTTTATTTTATTTAAATAAAAATTTTAATTGAAACAAAAAAAGTTATTCCATTCTGAAATAATTATATAGTATACTTTATTATTAGTGAATTATTAAGTTATTAATTAATGTAAAATTATATTAAATTATTATTATTATTGTTATTAATTAATATTAATTTATTTTATTTATTAATTAATTTTAAATATTACTAATAAATAAAGTATATAATCTTTTAATGAGATACAGATTATTTTTAAATCTTTCAACGATAAATTAAATTTCTTTAAAAGAATCAATTAGATTGTATAGTCGTGTTATATTGCAAAACATTTACAGAGCACATGGAAAAAATCCTTTATTTTTTTCAGTCTTTGTGACTCATCGGAACGCTTCAAATAAAATCTCAAATTTCTTTTTCCGACGTCTTCACAAGACATATTGCTTCATTATTTTTCCTAACACTACAGAATGACTAAATAAAATTCACAAACATATATTTTTTTAACAAGTCCTCTAAAATAAAACCTGTAGAGAGTTGAAAGAACGAATTAAATAAAAAAAAATTTATTTTATCAAATAGATTTAATAAAATAATTTATAGGGTAAATGCACTAATTAAGGCACGATTGAAGTCAAAACACCTTTGAAATAGAAAATTTGACATTTGGATTGTATAAAGTCAATTTACGACTGTACACATATATGATATAAATATGAGAAATTAAATCTAATACCGTAATTTTCTATTACGGCGCGCTTGTATCAGCTTCAGTGTATTAATTACGGTGACCAAACTTACGTGTATTTTGAAGATACTTTACCTATCGTAATTGGAGCCAATGTAAATCTTAAATTTACAATTAATTTTAATTTTATCACTTTAGAGAACAGAAGTAAATTGGATAACTAATAAAGGAGAAATAAGAGAACAATCAAATAAAATTTTTTCAAAAAAAATTATTGAAGATAGGAAACTTCAAAGAAAAATGAAGCTATTAACAAATGACATAATAAAATCAAATAAACGACAAGTAGATTAGAATATCATTGCTCAGAAACCAATATTTTTTGTTGCCACTGATTTAAAAAAATCACATAATTTGCATGAGACAAAAGTTTGGAACAATCCACAGTGGTCTGAAACCCGAATCTAGCTGGACAAAACTGTTTTCTCCAAATTGCTTCGATGAATTCTTATGAAACTTGTTACTCGGGAGTTTTTTGGGTCGCTGATTACGAATCTGAGGTCAGTTTTTAAAAATTCAAAATGGCGGATCCAATATGGCGGACAAAAATTGAAAAATTGTTTAGATTCGACTGAAACTTGTTACTCGGGTGTTTTTGGGGTCGCTGATTACGAATCCGTTGTTAGTTTTCAAAAATTCAAAATGGCGGATTCAATATGGCGGACAAAAATTGAAAAATCGTGTAGATTCGATTGAAACTTGTTACATGGGGGTTTTTGGGGTCGCTGATTACGAATCCGGTATTAGTTTCCAAAAATTCAAAATGGCGGATCCAATATGGCGGACGAAAATTGAAAAAATAGAGCTAATTTCGTAAAAATGTCTACATAGGGGTTTTTTTGGTCGCTGATTACAAATCCGATGTCAGTTTTAAAAAATTTTTAAATGGTTGATGACAAATCTCTATTTAAAATTCAAAATAGCGGATAGAATTAAAAAATTAAGCTAGTCTTGTGATAATTAATTAAATAATCCTCACGTAATTTCCATAAAAAGTTATCTGGCGTTGTATTTGATAAGTTCAAATGGCACCTTTTTACATTCAATATAAAAAAGTTAGATCAATTTTTTATATTTTGGTCTGCCATTTTGAATTTTTAAAATCTAATAACGGATTTGTAATCAGCGACCCCAAAAACCACCGAGTAACAAGTTTCAGGCGAATCTAAACGATTTTTTAATTTTTGTCCATCATATTGGATCCGCCATTTTGAATTTTTGAAAACTAATACCGGATTCGTAATCAGCGACCCCAAAAACCCCCGTGTAACAAGTTTCAATCGAATCTACACGATTTTTCAATTTTTGTCCGCCATATTGAATCCGCCATTTTGAATTCTTGAAAACTAACAACGGATTCGTAATCAGCGACCCCAAAAACCCCCGAGTAACAAGTTTCAGTCAAATCTAAACAATTTTTCAATTTTTGTCCGCCATATTGGATCCGCCATTTTGAATTTTTGAAAACTAACACCGGATTCGTAATCAGCGACCTCGAAAACCCCCAAGTAGTAATTTTCACGAGTCTAGCTCAATTTTTAATTTTATCCGACATATTTAATCCGCCATTTTGAATTTTTGAATTTTGAATGGAGATACGTTATCAGTTTGTAAGTAAAGTATGTTGTGGTTATTTTTATCGTCATATGTGAAGCTTTAAACAATAATATAGATCATATTAGTGGATTTTTTGTGTTTTTTATGTCGTTTAGGCGCCATATTTAAGTCGCCATTTTGAATTTCAAAAAGCGCCCAACTGGATTAAAAAGTAGACATTCCAAGCTAATTTTTCCAATATGATTAAATTTTTTTAAATTAAACCAATTATGGAGAGATGGGGTGGTCCGGTTGACAAAGAACGTCCCATATATATATATATATATATATATATATAATTTTTTTATAATTATTTAAATTTTTAGTATTATTAAAAGAATACATTAAAATCACATTAAGGGTATGTGGGCAAAGGATGTTTTTTGCGGTTTGAAACTTTCTTTAAAATAAAAAATGATTTCGGTTTAAAATTTTTGAAAAATGATTTAGTTTGGTGCAAGGAATCTCGATGTTCTTCACATTTACTTTAACATAACGCAAAAATAATAAATATAAAGCAATAAATAGTAAAATAATGTATTATATTATAGTTCACTCAGCGGACACTTGCTCGAATTGGCGCTGTTTACTAGAGCACTGACACACTCAAGCAACGTCTGTGTATGCGTCTCCATGTTTGTTTTCATTTTCCTTTAAAAATGACACTTTTTAAACTTTATTTTTTAATAATTTAACGCAAAATTATGTATTTCTCGGAGAACAGCAAGATTCCTTGAACCCAAATGTATTATCCCTCAAAATTTTAGACAAAATTTTTTTTTCATTTTAGATTAAGACGTATACTACCAAAACACATTTTCTCACACTAGGACACGTAGGAGGTTCCCACATATCATTAATTACAAAGTTTCTTATTAAACTGTATTAAAATTTCGTATCCGGATGAAAATTTAATATAATTAAAAATATTTTAATTATTTATCTACATTTGCAATGAATTGACATAAAATATTCTTATCTCTAAAGTTATTTAATTAAAAGAAATAAAAGAATATTTTTTTGTTCCCTTCAAAGGTATACATATTTTATCTGAATAGAAATGCATTAAATGTAGAAAGCAACTATTTTCATTTCTAGTCAATAAAAAAAATTAAGTAATCATAGAACTAATTTGATTAAAAAGCATTCAATGTAGCATTAAAATTCGAAATATGAATTCTTTATAATGCAAGCCTTCTTACCAGGTAGCGAGTGGCTCACGTTATGGCTTTATTGTCACATGAGTTACAGAAAGTAAATGATGTAAATTCTAATTTGTTTCTTTCTACTCCATCAATATCAAATGCAGATTTAAATGATAATATGCCATTTAAATCAAACAATGTTGAAAATTATCTAGGTTCGATGAATTTTTACTGCACACATTGTCAAGCTAAACATTTTAAAGACGAAAAAGTTGCCACTAAAAAAGGTAGTTTTAATGATTGCTGTGGTCATGGTGATGTTGTGATAGGTTCAGTAGAATATCCCAATGAATTAAGGCTTTTGCTAGAAGGTATTCATAAGAAATCTGGCCATTTTAAAAAAATATAAGATTGTATAATAATTCATTTTCTTTTGCATCTTTGAATGCTAATGTAATTAACTTTAATGGCAGGAGAAGGGGACCATTCTGTTACAAAATTCAAGGTCAAATTTACTATCAAATTAATAGCGCTTTATATCCGGATAAAGGTGAAGATCCATGTTTTAGTCAATTATTTATTTATGATCCTGAAGAAGCAATTTGTTACAGAAAAAAAAGTAATTATATTTTGGATGAAGAAGTCTTAAAAACTATAGAAAATATTATGCGAAATTCTAATGTATACACAAAATCTTTTATGATGATGTCAGAAATAATTAAAATGGAAGCTGAATTAGCAAGAAAAAGAAATGAAGATATTCCTGAATTACAATTATTATTTACGTTGAAGAAAGGTTTAGATAAAAAAGATACAATTTTCAAAGTTTTAATGAAGTTGCTGCAATTTTTAATACAAACTCAGAAGGAGAAATACCAGAATCCTATGTAACGGTTTATAATAAATCTACAAAGGAATTAAAATTAGTAAGTAATTTGGATCCCAATGTTGAACCTTGGATTTATCCTATATTTTACCCACTTGGAAATAAAGGTTATAATATTAATATGATCCGTAGTGATAGTGATTATAGAAGAAGAAACCTTACTATTTCTAGGTCTGCCTATGTGAAATACAAAATCGCAATAAGAGATAAGGAATTTAATCATTTCTTATATGGCGGGCGGTTGTTTCAACAATGAGTAGTTGATAATTATGAAAAAATAGAAAAAGATAGATTAAGATTCTGTGCAAATATTCAAGCTCAATTGAGAAGTGAAACATATAAAGGACTGATTGATTATTTACATAATCGTGAGTTAGAAAATGATGTACACGTTGGAAAAATGCTTATATTGCCTTCTACTTTTATAGGATCTCCTCGCAATATGATGCAACAATATCAATATTCCATGGCTATTGTTGCTCGTCATGGTAAACCGGATTTATTTATTACAATGACATGTAATCCAAATTGGAAAGAGATAAAGGAAAATCTATTACCCCACCAAACTGCTGCTGATAGACCTGATATAGTAACTAGGGTTTTTGGATTAAAAGTGAAACATCTGCTAAAAGTTATTGTTGATAATAAATTATTTGGAGAGGTAAAGTCTTATGTTTATGTTATTGAATTTCAAAAGCGAGGATTGCCACACATTCATTTGTTAGTTATATTGAAAGAAAATTCTAAAATATTGACAGTTGAAAGTATTGATCGTTATATTTCTGCAGAAATTCCTGATGAAAATATTAATCCTACCTTACATAAAATAATAATGCAAAATAACATTCACGGACCTTGTGGAGATTGGTGTTTGATTGATGGAAAATGTTCAAAAAATTTTCCAAAACCATACCAAAATGAAACTACAATTAAAGAAAATTGCTATGTTCACTGTCGTCGAAGAAATAATAATAGAACGTATGAACGACCAAATGGATTTGTTGTTGATAATTCTAATGTTGTTCCGTATTGTCCTAAGCTATCAGAAATATCTAATTGTCATATAAATGTGGAAATAGTTTGTTATCTCAAATGCGAATGGTGAGGTAACTGTGAATTACAATGAAATAAATCATTATGAAGAAAATAGATATGTTGGTCCTGTTGAGGCAGTTTGGAGAATTCTAAGTAAACCTTTAGGAAAAAAGAGTCATAGTATTAATCGTTTACCCATACATTTACCAAATGAACAGAATGTTATTATTCGAGAAGGAAAAGATAGTAACGTTGTTTCTTTTGATTTGAAGAAAAATACAAAATTACTGGATTACTTTAAACTTAACCAACGTGATAATAATGCTCATCAGTATTACTATTCAGAAATACCAGAACATTATACGTGGATAACAAAATCTGTTGAAAGGAAACAAAGAATTCGTAAGGAAAAAGTATTGGGAAGAATGTATTCAGTTAATCCCTCTCAAATGGAATTATTTCACCTGAGATTATTGTTGCTTACAGTAAAAGGAGCAACTTCTTTTGAAAGTTTAAGAACAGTTAATAGAGTCGTGCTTGAATCTTTTACATCTGCTTGTTTGGCATTAGGACTTGTGGAAGATGATACTGAGTGGATTAGAACAATAGAAGAAGCTACTTTATGGCTGATGCCTCATTCACTTCGCCAATTATTTGTAAGAATTTTAATTCATTGTCATCCTGTTCACCCGGATAAACTTTGGGAACAATTTAAGAGGCATCTGTCAGAAGATTTTTCAAAAATTAACAATATTGAGGCTGAAAATATGGCTTATAGAAATATAAAATCACTGTTACTTAATGAAGGATACAATTTAACTGACTTTCAAGGATTATTAGACATAGAAGATGAAAATCGTTCTATACAAGTTGACGATATAAATATGTTAGAACATATTAAGATAGGAGAACAAAATTATGATACATTAAATGTAAAACAGAAAGTTGTAGTTGACTATATGCTTCAAGTCATAAAAGATTCTTCTTTAAATGGTTCTAAATGCTTATATGTCAATGGTTGTGGAGGATCTGGAAAAACTTTTTTATACATTACACTATGGCATTTATTAAGAAGCAAAGGAGTGAATGTTTGTAACATGGCATTTACGGGTATAGCTGCCACTTTGCTTCCTAACGGGAAAACTGTTCATAAAGTTTTAGGATTACCTGTTCCACTGTATAGTGATTCAACTTCAAACATTAAAGTTCAGTCAAAAGAGGGACTCTTTTTAAAAAATATAGATGTTTTTATTTGGGATGAAGCACCAATGGCTCCAAAATATGCCTTAGAAATTATGGATTATCTATTAAGAGATATAATGAAATCAAATGTTGCTTTTGGTGGTAAAATTGTAATTCTAGGAGGAGATTTTAGACAAACTTTGCCAATTAAAGAACGAGGCACTAGATCAGAAATCGTAAATTTATCCATAAAGAACAGTAAACTATGGAAACATTTCAAAAAATACACTTTAACAGAAAATATGAGAGCCTTACCACAGGAGACGGAATTTGTAGATTTTCTACTTAAAGTGGGCAATGGTGAATTAAATGATGTAGATGATAATGTTAAATTACCAGAACATATTATTCAACATGGAAATGTAGATATTGCTGAAGAAATGTATGGTCATTTGATACAACAGAATAAATTTAGAGAGTTGGCAGTGTGTGCAATTTTAGTACCTAGAAACGTTGACGTTGATGATATTAATAAGAGAGTGGTGCGTCTCTTAGACAGTAATGGGGAAACAATGTATAAAAGTATTGATTCTACTGAAAATTGTGATAATGGAAGTTTTGCGGAAGTCTTGTTACCAGAATATTTAAATACTCTCTCTCCGCCTGCTTTACCACCACATGAATTACATTTGAGAATTAATTCAGTTGTAATGCTTATTAGAAACCTTAGTATTAATGAAGGTTTATGTAATGGAACAAGGTTAATTATTTTAGATTTATCACATAATGTTATTAAATGTCAAATATTGACTGGAGATAAGAGTGAAAATATTGTTTTTTTACATAGAGTAACTCTATATTCTGAAAATTTATATCCATTTACTTTTAAAAGAAGACAATTTCCTATAAAATTGGCTTTCGCAATGACTATCAATAAATCTCAAGGGCAAACATTCAACAGAATATTCATTGATTTGAGAAGAGATGTCTTCAATCACGGTCAGATGTATGTTGCATTATCAAGAGTTAAATCATTTGATTCTGTAAAAATATATTTAGGAGATAATAGAAGTAATAAATATATAAAAAATTATGTATATAGTGAAAGTTTTGAATAATTTTAATTCAGTTTAGTGTAATATATCTTTATGTATTTATGGTTTTCAATATACAACATTACATTAAAGGGTACGATCAGTATGGAATTTTTTAAATATTCGAAAATATCCTCTCCTAACCATGCCAAAAGATTTGACTTGATTGGGTTGAAAAGATTAGTCTCCAAATGTGAATCAGTTCAATAAATGTTTTTACGGATGTTTTTAATAGTAAACAATATTACTGTTTTATAACTTTAAAGGAGAAAATAAAAATGGCAAAAATATATAGCATAAATTTATTTCTTGGATTATCTTAATTAACATATTTCATTAAAGGAATGAAATTATTTCAAATGTAATATATTGGAATAAAGGTAGAATTGCAAAATGGTTTGGTTATATTGGATTAAAGGCAAAATTGGAAATTGATTTGGTCATTTTGGAATAAAAGCAAAATTGGAAATTGGTTTGGTTATATTGGAATTAAAGCAAAATAACATTACCTTGACATGAAAGGTAGTATTAATGTAATATTACTTTTTGAACTAAGAATCATGTTTTTAATATGCAAGGGAAAAATAGATATGAAAACCCAATACATTTTTTAAAATAATTTCAAAGTTTCTTAATTTAGCATGTAATATTACCTCAATATTATTATTGTAATAATAGGTACAGTGTAATATTACCTTTGCATTACCATGTAATATTACTGTAAGATAACTGTAAAATATTATTTTATATAATACAGAATTTATATAGTTTTATAATTATATAAAAATTAATATATTAATCAATAAAATTGATATGATTAATTCTATATATTAATACAAATATAAGAATCCACGTGGGAAGATTTCCTAAAAATTTTCAGAAATAAATTTTTTGACGGAAATGCTTTGGAAATTAATTTTTTGACAGAAATTCTTCTACAAAATTTTCGGTATTTAGTGATGCTCGAGAAAATGATAGTTCTGAATATTTATTCAATTTCATTTTGCCTTTTCTGCAGTGAAATTGAAGATAAATATTAACCTTTTTGTAAGTTACTGATGGTTAAGTTTGTCATGGATGGTAAATACATTATTATGCAATTAAAAAGATCATAGAAATTCCATGTATCTATTGGATTCAAAAAAATCTTTATTATATATGAATATAAATTACCGACATTTTTTCAAAATTGAAAAATATTATAATGAAATGGACACAAGCGAATAAGTGGAACAAATTTTTATTTTCGTTTATTGAATCTTTTGTTTTCAAAATTCATAGAACTGGATGTTTAGAATTAGAAGAAATATACTTGAACATTTTTGATGATAAATAATAGAAATTGTTGAAATGTTTCATTATTAAAATGTCAAACGTTGTTTCTTTAAAATGATACCTTAATATAACCAAAAGTAGAACACAAACATTAATTTTTTTATAAATTTCAAATGTTTAAGGAATACTGCTTTAATAAATATTAAAATCCTATATGAAACGAGTTTAATTTTTCGGGTTTTTAATATTATAATAATAATGTTCTTTGAAAGTTATAATTGATTTTTTATAGACATTTTCAATTATGAATATATCAAATAAATATCAACCCAAGAAAACGTAGAAATGCATTGCAGTAACAGCAGAGCAATTTTTTTGAAATTATATTACAAAAAGAAAATTCTAAATAATAATAATAATAATAATAATGTTAGAAGCTCTTTAATTTTCAAATAATTCTATTTTACATAATAAAAACAAGGGCGCGCGTAGCGCGCAAGTATTAGTGACTAGTATTATTTAATTTTTGTTAACTGCCTTCTGTATAAAACAGTTAACATGAAATCACATGTGATTTCCTATGTTCAAATCCATGTGAAATCATATGTAAGAATGCACATGAAATCCCATATGGTTTCCTATAGGGTAAGTCCGGGGGAGTTGGCCATAGTTTTTTTAAAGGCCTGTAAAAATAAGAAGAAAGTGATTTATGTATTAACTTTTATTGCTAATTAAACATTGAACATTTAACTTACAAAAAAAACAGAAATGAGAAATTTTTTAAATGCAAACAATCTTAAAATTAATATTTTATAAAAAACGCGTTTGGCCATCTCTCCCGGAATGTACGGGAGAGATGGCCAATACTTTAAAATCATTCTTTGGCTTTCCGCTTTATCAGAATTCTTAATTTAAAGTGATTAATACTTCTTTTCTTCTTCTGACCACATTTCGAACATTTATCATTAAATTTAGTGCAATTTTCATGAAGCCAAAGATGACAATCATTGCACTGAATTCAGTCTTCGATAAGCGCTCTCTGTTTGTCTGTCTCACCAACACAACAAGTCTACAAGGTATTTTTTTGAGATATCAGAGTAGTTTCCAATTTATTTTTGTGTCCTGAAAACTATCCCGGGTTACAAAATTGCGTATCACGTCAGGATTTTGAGTAAAGTGGGGGTAAAGACTCCAAAACCCGTGTTTTTGAGGGTTTTCAGTATTTTTTCTCCTTAACCTGACGTGATACAGACTTCTATATAGGTTTAAATTAAAGCTTATATCTTACACTTTAAGATTCATATGCATGCGCAAGGAAAAAAAATTTGAAATTTAAAAAAAAATTAGGTTGAAGTCACCTAAAAAGATTTTTGGGGTATTTACCCCTATTTTTTTCAAAATTTAAAATTTTTTTTAATCCTGCGTAAATGAGTCTTAAAGTGTACGATCTGAGCTTTAATTTAAGCATATATAGAAGTGTCTAGCACGTCTGGTTAAGGAATAAAAAAATAATGAAAACCTTCAAAAACACTGTTTTTGGAGACTTTACCTCCACTTTATTCAAAATCCTGATGTGATACGCAAATTTGGAACCCGGAATTCGGTTCTGCACACAAAAATACATTCAAAACCACTCCGCTGTATATAAAAAAGTCTTACTTTGTAGACCTGTGTTATGATTGTTTATAAACGTTTTTAAGATTTAATTACACAATAGTGATTATTTTATCTGATCGTATTTAAATTTGAAAATCTTTTTTGGAGTGTCTTGTTGTAATATATGTCATAAAAAATGTCATTTGCCACAGAATTAATGTTTTTTTAGCGAACACACGAATCTCAAGGGTGCCAATAACTTAAACAGTATGGCCATCTCACCTCGACAAAACATGGCCATCTTTCCTAATGTCAGGAGATAAATTGACACAACTAAAATTTAAATAAATAAATACATTTTTTGAATAAATATAAATTTATGACAAAGCTTGGGTCATGTACTTTACAAAAAAACATGAAATTCAAAATTATTCTATAAAATAACATAACACCAGTGAGAAACGTAAACTCATCACTTTTTTCCGAACTAGTCAAAATAACAAATCAGATTTTTACATACTTTTTCAATATTTTTCGTGAAGTTTTTTTTTAATTGTGTTTTGCCACAAAACAAAGCGATTTAATCTTTAATAAGCGATACCTAGCAGCAAATTCTATAAAATATTTGAATTGGCCATCTCTCCCGCATGGCCAACTCCCCCGGACTTACCCTATTAAAACTTGTATGTAAGATTTCATATAAAGAAATCTTTATAATTTTATATGATATTTTTTATAAGATTTGATGTGAGTTGATTTGGAAGGAAATTGACAAAAATAATATGCCAGAAAAATTATAGGAAATAATGTAGAAATTCACATAGATTTCAATGTAGAAACAACATCATAAATTCCTACATGAAATCATACACCAAATCGTGTCCGAATTTCATATATAATTTTACATGGAATTCTATGTGGATTCCTATGTCGACCTAGGATTTCATAACGGTTTTTATAAAGGAACCTATATGGAATCATATATAGGATACCATGTGAGGATTTTCAATAGGGAACCTCGTTGCGTCGACGCTCACTTTTTATCAAATATTAAAAAACTAGATAAATTAAATGTTAAGATCAATACACCATTGAATGCCTAGATAAATTTGGATCATTTAAAAAAATACGTATCGATATCGTTAAAAATGCAAAAAATAGACCAAATAGTGTAAACATAAAAACTTTCACATAAGTGACGCCAAAGCACCAAATTACTAACAGCTAATTATTCCGTGAAGCAAAAAAAATCAAAATAGTTGCCAAAGATGCGCATAAGTAAAACAATACTTCTCTCAATTCCACTTTTTAAAAAGAAATTTGTTTTTGAGATATTCCTATCGGCACAACTTACCCCCGGCACTTTCAGCCCCGGTCTCCCCTACTCTCATTATGTGAGACCTACAATTTAAAAAATATATTTATTTAACTCTCATAGTATTCGAGGTATTTATGAAAATGTAACGTATATATATATGAAACTTCGTTTTTAAAAAATGTGATTTTTTTAATAATAAAAATCGAAAACAAAGATACATCAATAAATGGAAATCGAAAAATTTTGGTTCTGTAATAATTTCTCTATGAGGAAGCAAAATTAATTAATTTGAATATTATATAGATTCTTCAATTTGTTTCTAAATGTAATATATTTTTTCAAAAATGTCAATCAACAAATAATGTGAATTTGCAAATTTGTTAAGTTAAAAGAAATATGAATATTTTCAAATTCTTCCAAAGCGAAAAATCGCTATTATTTATACAAATTTATATTAAAATATACATTTTATATACGAACCGTTCATACATCAATAATTATATTGTGATTAAATAGAATAATTTGAAGTGTTTACTTAAAAATTCATGAGTTATTTAAATTTTAATATTATGACTTAAAAATTTAAGGTTATACTCTTAACGTATTATTTTTTAAGAAATAAATTACCACAACAGCAGGACTTGAAAAACAGGTATTTATTTTGCAGAATAAAATGGGACTATTTATGTTAAAATTAAAAATTTATTATTCTTAATGTTTGAACCTTTCAAAATTATAAAGGTCAAAATTTTTTTCATCCTTTTATACAATAGTCATATACATATGAGGCAAAATTCCTGAAGTGATCCAACTTTAAAATTGAAGGTTTTCGGAGTAGGTTGAAATTTGCACAAACTTTAGTACTATGAGTGTGTATGTACTTCACCCCAAAATTATTATTAAATTATATGCAAAACTGTAGAGGGGGGAGGAAGTTCAAGTTTTTCGTCAAATGTGAAAAAAGGATTTTTTAAAAAATCATAACTTCTATATAAATGGATGACAAAAATTTTGACCTATATCACAGGTTTACAAATTTCAAATTTTTTTTTGTCACTCGAACAAAACATTTTTTTTCGATTAATATGTGTTTTTTGAGTAAGAAAATCATATTTTAAATTTTTTTCCCTCGTGCACTTTTTTTGGAACAGCAAATTATGCATTTTTAGGTGTGACGTCAAATAAAGTCACTGGTAGAGAAAGCAGTTAATCCAAATGTAAAAAATAAACCACCATTTGAAAGATAATTAAATTACCTCTCAAAC